GTCCGGAAAGGCCTGCTACTTACTTTCCTACTACTGGCTGGGCCCTTAAATTCCAAGTCTAGCTCTTTTTTTTTATTCCTTAAAGGTAGGAATTACACTCTGATCTTTACTTCTTAAGATTTTTATTCCTGTTAAATTACAAATTTCTGAGGGCTGGCCCATGGCTCACTGGGCTCCCGCTCACTGGCTGAGCGAGGCGTGGGAGCAACACCGAGGTTTGCAATCCCGTTGCCGGTCCCTGGTCCGGTACGGGGGCAACACCGAGGGTTGCAATCCCTTGCCGGACACGGAAAAATAAGACAAAAAGACAAAAAAAAAAAATAAAAAAATAAAAAAAAATAAAAAAAAAAATCATAAATTTCTGTTAATTTTCTATTGATTATATTCAAGATGAATTAGTTTTGTCTGATCTTTTCATAAGAATAACTAGACCAGTAGTTTTCTACTGCTGACAACACCAAGCCAAGGGTTAAGATCCCCTTACTGGTCATCTTTAAAAAAAAAAATTATAAATTTCTGTTAATTTTCTATTGATTATATTCAAGATGAATTAGTTTTGTCTGATCTTTTCATAAGAATAACTAGACCAGTAGTTTTCTACTTCTACTGCCTCTAGACTATTCACATGGGAAACACCATAATTATTTAGTCTCTCATAACACACAATTACTTTGAATCAGACTGTAGTATGTTGTGGGGGGTTCCTTATCAGAATCTAGGGGAGTGTATATATTGTTAGCAAAAGTCATTTCTGATGCCCCTGTCCTCTGCCTCTGCTTGGGCCGCTCATCAGGCCTGGACCACCACCTAGATCCAGAGTTTCTTGAAGGCTGGGATTTCCTCCATATCCCCAACACCAAACAGAGTACCTGGCCAACAGGGGTGCTCTTCATAAATATTTATTGAGTAAACATAGGCATTGATGAAGAAAAGAGCAAGAAGATAGTAGAGATCTGGAGGTTTGGATGAGACAATTAGTAAGAGGAGAAAGTGTTAACCAATTTCCAATTTCGTCAAAAGCTAGCTTATGGGGAGACAGTACATAAAATAATAGTAATAATATCTAACTCTTATCAAGAGTTTATTACGTGCTTGTCACTGTGCTAAAGAGTTTACATGCTCATTTAATACTCACAGTAATCCGGAAGTAGGTACTATTACTATTCCTATTTTATAGATGAAGAAACCAAAGCTCAGAGAGGTCAGGTAGCTTGCCCACAGTCACACAGCTGAGAAATGGTAGAGCACAGTTTCAGACCCACACCACCAAAGTGACTGAAGAAGTGAAATGCCAACACTGTGTCAGATCCGTATCATGGCTTTTCTTTACCCTCCCCCACCAATTTGGGCATTTCTCCAAGTGTTTCTGGACAGAACTAAAGCCTTTTCTTCACTCTCTTCTTCCACCCTCACTTCCATTTTCAGAAGTATGCAATTCTCCCACTCACTCCTTCAGAAGGGCCTCCCTCACCCTGTCCACCTCCAGGTAACCGAAAACCCTGTGAATTGGCACAACATCACGGACTAGAAGACCCGTTAATTTAGAAATACTCATGGAGTCCCTCCACCTTTTAGAAACATCTCTAACACTGATCTCTTCCTACCCCTGGCAGTCTAAACATTCCTCATAGTCTTCTCTGGAGAGCCTCTCTTCAGAGTCCTATAGCCCCGGACTCTTTGTTTTCCTTTAATCCCACTCCTCTAAGCCCCCTTGTTGTCTCCTTGTCCATTTGTGAATCTCAGCACCTTTCTGTAGTTTTCCATGTCTGCTGACTGAAATTAATGGGGGGCCTACGATCAGGAGTTCAAAGATGACCAATCTGTTTGACCCTCAGTAAAGCACTTGGTAGAAGCTGAACATCAAGCACCAGACCTGATTTCCATGGTGACACCCCTGGGGATTGTTGCCATGGTAATGCTGGAGAGACACTGGCCATGGTAAACATTACTTCTCTCCACTTTCCTTTATGAGACTTTCCCAAAGCTAAGGGGAGTCCTGCTCCCCTCTTCAGATATCAAAGGAATCCCAGGCCACCCCAAACAATACTGACTGTGCACCAACAACCCTGCAAATCCCAACCTAGCATTTCCAGATGAGGTACTTTCTGGTCCTGGTCTCTTGCCTCCTTAAGAACCCCCTTAACTGTTAAGACCTGAGGAAGGTAGCATGTGGACACTTGAATGAAGGAGAAAGAGTGTGTTTCCTTACTGTCATCTCTCCCACATATGATACAGATGCAACAGTCCAGAAAGCAGGCATTGGGATACTGCTGAGAAAGACCAAGGCAGAGAAAGACAAACAGAGAGATACCAAAACCGATTCAGTGAAAGAGTCACACTGGACTCTGAATGTCTAAAGAGCAAAACAAGATGCATACCACACACAGACAGTGACCCAGACACCCTTCTACTATGACTCAGGCCATTAACTTTGGCTAAGCCCCATCCCCCAGATGACTGGGAGAAGTCAGAGGAGAGTGGGCACACAGAGATGTCTCTCTAGCTTATTCTCCTACCCTCTGCCAAGCATAACAAAGCCTACGAATATAGGGAACTCTGAGTCCCAGAGCTAACAGAAGTGCTGCAGAGGCGAAGGGCAGAGCTGTCACAGGAAGGAGTAGGGCTGGGTTTGGAAAGATTATCCTCTTCCACCTTCAATCCTCCCTCACCTTCCCAGATATCCTGAAGCAGCTTCCTCCATTAATGCCTCAGACAGTTCCCCACACACTGGTCCCAAAGACAGATACAGGAGGAAAGAGGAAACTGGGTGGGAGATGCTCTTCCCTCACTGGGACCTCAAGGGTCTCCTCAAAATCATGTCTCCTGAAGCCCTCATTCCCCTGAATGAAGACTGAATAGTAAGTCAGGGAAGGCAAGCCCCAAGGATATTGCCTGAGACAAAATGGCCCCCTGCAAGCATTTATCTTAGAGTGAGAGATTGACAGGGAGGGTTAGGGCGAAGGAAGATACAGAGTGAGACAAAGATATCAGGCAAAACAGACCAGAGAGTACCAGCTGTGGAGTTGAGATAGAATCTGAATTGGAAGGGGGCTCTGGGCTTCTCTTCATTTCTCCTCCCTCCCGCCTTCCCACCATGCCTCTCCTGTTTTGCTGGGCCAACTGACAGATCAACACCACAACCTCTCCTCCCGATATCACCCCTGACCCATCCCAGCGCAGCAGGATGGTCCAGAGGGCCTAAAAGAATAGGTTCAGACCTACCAGAAAAACCTTCCAGAGCAAGGAAGTGGGGCCTAAAAGCAGAAGCCTTTTGTGGATTTGCTCCCCATAACACCCCTCTCCCGTTTCTCAGCCTTTGTATCTAAGGGCGACCTAAGCTCCAACTCTCACAGCTAATGCTTGCTGTTCAGGCTGCTCAGAGAGGGGTACCCCAAGGTTGATCCAGGCGTTTTTTTTCAGCCTGGCCAGACTGACCAGCCTGCAAGACCTGAGGTCCCTGAGGCAAAGAGGCCCTCTCCATGTGGCAAACACACACACACACACACACACACACACACACCACACATTCATGGCAAAAGTACCCATCTGAGTTCACAGTGGGGATGAGGGTGCAGGGTGGTGACAGAATAGGCCCTTGGGGACAAGTAAGCAGGTCTCTCCCTAAGGCATGTTTACTCAAAGTCCCATTCTCACTGACTCAGAAGGCCTAGACTTCCCCTCTTCTTTCCTTTATTCCTTTAACAAGCATGTTTCCAGCTGCTTTGTGCTAAGCACTGTGGATCAAAGATTCATAAGAGGTGCCTCTGACCTTGAGGACTGTGCTCAAATACGCCCCTCCCTTCTCAAACTGGCTACAGTTTCCTGGTCTAGCATCCCTCAAGCTCTACAGAACTCAACGCAGATCCTTTCACCCCACACACAGCCTGAAGGGTCCTACCAACCCAGGAAAGGTGGAGTGGGCAAGGCCTAGAAATTCTCTTTGGGCCATCACAGATAAAGGTCCAGAACAGAAATCTGGGGAGGCAATGTGATATAAAGGAAAAGGTGTGAGGTTTGGAGTGGCAGATTTGGGTTCAGATCCATAAATTAATGGCATGACCTTGAGAAAGTCATTCAACTTACTTGGGCCTCAATTTCCTCATCTGCAAAATGGAAATATTGATATTACTTCAGAATGTTGTTTTGAGGCTTAAATGATATACATAGAGTAACAAGCACACAGTAAATTATTAGTTCTCCTTAAGATTTCCATGGGTAGTGACTGTCATGATGAAGTAGAGGTGGCTTGCTACTCTTTATTGGATCATCAAGAGACAGGATGAATAAGCAAGTACCAAGGATCTCAGGGTTTGGGCATTTTTGTTTGGTGGAGAGGGCAGCTGGGGAGTCTAAAATCCTCATCCTACTGTACTTGGGATGGAAAGGTAGACATGTCCTTAGGATCCCAGAGGATCCCCCAAAACTGGGTGTGGCATCAATGTATTTCTTTCCCAGAAAACCCTTCATGAGACCCAAGCCCTCCCCCTCTCCCCAAGTCCCGGCTGTAATTATTTCAGGAGACGATGGAAGGTTTGGTCCCAGGGCCCACTCCCATTCAGACCTCCGCAGAGACCCCGGACAGCCCACCTCCTATCTAGCCCATCCATTAGTCCTCCTCCTCCCTTCCTGGGAGGTGGGGGTAGCGATCTGAGCCAATAACAAAGGGAAGATGCGCTTTCTCTGGGGGAAAGGGAAAATATCAGAAAAACATGAGACTGTCTATAAGGGGTGGGGACGCTGCAGAAAGCAGCAAGGAGGGATTGGGTCTCCTGATGGCAGAGAAGTAGCCCCCTCCCACTCTGCAGAGACTTGGCCTCAGGCCTTGGCCAGGCCACACCCAGCCATCCTGATGCAGGGAAGAGAAGGAGGGGCTGCGGCGAAGAGGATGGAGAATGAGCTGCGGGGAGGGGGCGCACAGTGCCAGGCAGAGGCTAAGGCTCTGAGGGGTTAAGAGTCAGCCTCTCGCCCCCTCCCCAAATTCCCTCTGGGGCAGCACTCACCCCAATAACGACGCTGTCGTCCCCTTGGAAAATGGGGATGAACTTGTCTCCCCGCAGAATCTCGGCCTGGTTCAGGGGCCGAAATCGGCAGAGCACCTTGATGCTACATTCGTTGTTGGTCTCCGCCATGGTGGGTCGCCGGCGCGGGGCTGGGGCACTTCTTGGGCGGCAGGGGTGGTGTGTGCTCCGAAGGAGGGGGCGCTCAGCTGAGACTGAGGCGGCAGACAGGTGCTCGGGAGGCTTTGAGAGGAGGTCTAGGGCAAACACGTGCATTTGGGTTTCAGGCAGGTTTAGGCACCTATGTGTGTGTTTCCTGTTCCAGTAACCTTCAGATAGAGTCCCAACACCCAATCCTTTTCTCAGGCATTTCTTCTCTGCTTCTCTCCCTTCCCCGACAAAAAAAAACAAAAAAAAAAACAGCCAAGCCCAGAGACTCCTTGTCCTTCCTCCACTTGGGTCAGACTTCTGCTGCAGCCCCTGTGCAGAAACACCGAGAAGCTGACTGAATTGATTTTTCTCCACGTCATAGGCCTCTGCTGGCCAACAGAGTTGGACCGCAGGAGTTGAAGCTATAAGCCAAGGGGAGGGGTAGGATGATGGGAGAGGGGAAGAGGGGAAGGAGGTTCCGCTCAGTGATTGTCTGATGAGTGTCTAAGGTCACTTAGATGCTATGGGGCAAGGATGAGAGGCTGATGGCCTGACCAGACAAGACCTAACCACTCAGAACTCAGCTGAAGGGGTTTTCCCACGTTGGGCCTATATCTCAACCGCACCTTGAATCTTAAGGAAACTGAAGGAAAAGCGTCCAGCTTAAGAAACTGGATGGAAAGGCAGTTTGGAAAAAGAGGGGTAGAGGCTTGGGGAAGAGCCAGGAAAGAGAATGACAATGAGTTCCAAACTCAGGAACTCTCCAGTCACTTGGTTTGGCACTATTTGTAAGTGTTGCAGCATCCTGCAAGCTCAGGACACATTCTGGGAAACATCCCAACCTTGGGCCCCCAGGGGCTCCAATGTGGTATCTTTAGTGAAGAAATTTCAAAATGCCAGTCCATGGAGGGTCGCTAATCAGAGACAGAAATTCACTAGGTATGCCCCCACCCTCAAGAGAACAATGTGGTAAGAATAAAGCTGGATTTGTTAAGTTTCAAAGGACTGTCTTTATTATGAGAGTGTGTCCTTCCTACTTTTCTACCAAGTAATCATGGTGATAGTAGATAGTAGGTTTTCTATTTGTGATATACTTACTTGGTAAAATAAAAAGCTACCGGGCCAGCCATTCGGATCCCATGTGGAGACCGGTTCCCGCTCACTGGCTGAGCGAGGTGCGGGCGCGGGCGCAACACCGAGGGTTGCAATCCCATTGCCGGTCCCTGTTGCTCACTGGCTGAGCGAGGTGCGGGCGCAACACCGAGGGTTGCAATCCCATTGCCAGTCCCTGGTATGGGCGCGACGCCGAGGGTTGCGATCCCGTTACTGGTCAGTAAAAAAGACAAAAAGGAAAAAAAAAAAAAAGCTACCAATACTGGGCTGGCTCGTGGCTCACTTTGGAGAGTGTGGTGCTGATAACACCAAGGCCACGGGTTTGGATCTCTATAAAGGGATGGCCGGTTAGCTCACTTGGGAGAGTGTGATACTGACAACACCAAGTCAAGGGTTAAGATCCCCTTACCGGTCATCTTTAAAAAAAAAAAAAAGCTACCAATACTGTGTCTATCCCCCAAAAGGTTTATTGTTTTTATTGAACCGTGAAATTCAAAAACTCTGAGAACTATTAGTGAAGTGGTTAAGATCACAGGGTGTTCAGACAGACATGGAGCCACCACTTAATCATTTATGAATTTAAGATTGTCAGGTTTGAAAAACAAAAACAGAATGCCCAGTTAAATTTGAATTTCTTTAAAAAATTTTTGTGTTAGTATGTCCCAAGTGTGATATGAAACATAACTATACTAAAAGAACCTATTAGTTGTTTATGTAAAATTCAAATTTAACTAGGAGTCCTGTATTTTATTTGACAGCCCTAACTTGGAAAGATTGCTTAACTTTTCCATTCCTAACATATGAGAGTACCTCAAAAAGTTCATGGAAAGATTCGTATTATATTTTAATTCTATTTTTTTCACGAAATTTTTGAAGTACCCTAGTACAGTAAGCCTTTACTAAATTTTATTTGTTGTTATTGCTGTTTTTGAAGCCATGGCTATACCACAACATGACTAGCTGTGTGATTTAATTTGGTCATTTAATTTCTGGGAGTCCAGGCCGGCCTGTGGCTCACTCGGGAGAGTGTGGTGCTGATAACACCAAGGCCACGGGTTCGGATCCTATATAGGGATGGCCGGTTCGCTCACTGGCTGAGCGTGGTGCTGACAACACCAAGTCAAGGGTTAAGATCCCCTTACCGGTCATCTTTTTGAAAAAAAAAATAATAATAATAATAATTTCTGGGAGTCCAAGACAGGAATTATAAAAGTTCTTTTACAGACTTGATGTAAAAATGAAAGAAAATAACGTCAAGGGTTAAGATCCCCTTACCGGTCATCTTTTTGAAAAAAAAAATAATAATAATAATAACTTCTGGGAGTCCAAGACAGGAATTATAAAAGTTCTTTTACAGACTTGATGTAAAAATGAAAGAAAATAACTTGGATAAAATAGCTCCCTAAAGCGCGTTATTGTCGTTCCCCGCCCAAGCCCCAGTCGACGAAGACTACACATCCCACAGTCCTCGGCGACGTCCCCTTGCCATTACCTCATTCCCTGGCCTCGTTCTCGCCAATCCCTGTCTCTCCAGGGGTGTGGTAGCGAGCTGTTCTCGCGACTTTTGCTTTACCCGTCTACTGTGCTTCTCCTGTCGCGAGACTTCCTGCTCCTCTGCCGCTCCCTTTGCTGTCGCCTTAGCCGGGGACGTGAACCCAGACTCTCCCCTACCCGAACGCCGGCCCCGGCTCCACCGAGGCCCCGGCCCCCCAGTCCCGCCTCGCCGCCGCCATGGCGGACCCTAAATACGCCGACCTTCCCGGCATTGTGAGTACAGGGCCGGTCCTGGTTCCCCAGGACCGCGCCCCCGACCTCCCAAGGACCCCCAACAGAAACTAACCCACCACCCCCCCCGCCTGTAGGCCCTCCTCCGCCCCAGGGCCCCTGCTGCTCGCTCTCCGACCGGCCGCCGCACCTTTCGGACTCCTCTGACCTGACTGGGCTGGCTGGTCGGACGGCGCACCAGGCCCCCTTTCCGGCATTCGCCAGTTTCTCGGCCCAGAAATCGTCTCTGGGCGCTTACCACTTGTGCCCGTGTTTGTACCATCCGTGTCAACGCCACCCGTGCCGCCCTAAATCTCCCCATAAGCCCCCCATCCCTACCCCAAACACACACACCAGGCCATTGGTGATGGCCTTCATCCTGCCAAGGAAGAGGTTACCGTGGCAGAACCCTTCTTGTGCCAGATGGGGAACTCTGTCGTTCTGGGAACCTGTGTCCCCCCTTCCCCATGCACATGCTGGCGTATACCCTCCTGTTGTGCTCCCCTGCCTGCATTCTCAGGGTGGAAATGAGGACATAGGGCCTTGGGTACTAAGGCCTTGAGTCACTCTCAACCCTTGTACTGGGGTAGTGGTGTATAGGGCCTAATTGGAGGATAGCCTTTACCTACTTCTGATGTAATGATTGCCAAAGACCAGCCCTCCTCCAGAGTCAGGGTAACATCTTTGTTATCACTTACACTCCCTGTTTAACTTCAGGTCCCAGTTGTCCCCACTGCATCCCCACCCCTCTGAGACACGGCAACTGGCGTGCTGTTCACAGGGCAGGTGGAGGAGAAAGGACAGAATCCTGGCATCATAGCCTGCCTTCTCCCTTAGCTTCTTCAATTGGAGTGGGGTAAGGAGTGTTGATGGATGCTGGGTAGTGAGGTTGGGTGGTCACTGCTTCTATCTGCAGGCCAGGAACGAGCCAGATGTTTATGAAACCAGCGACCTACCTGAGGATGATCAAGCGGAGTTTGATGCGGTAAGACTGTGTGCTGCCTCAGGATTCTTCTGGACCCTGATCTCTCTCCCCTAGACAGGCCCTTTCCATTCTCTGGCGAGCCACAGCAATAAGCGAGTATGCCAACCCCAGCCTGGGTGGTATGTAGGTTGTAGGCCTTGCTGGGCCAGTAGCCACCTATGAGCAATAAAGGACAGAGAGTCAAATCAGTGGAATTACAACTAACAATACCTGTTGCAAAGGCCTTGGGCCTTTTAAGTAAAATTGAAATATCTCAGAACACTTAGATTTGGGGCTAATGACTTAGTTAAGCCCCTGGATTCTAATCCGTGGCAGTGAATCATGAATCCTGAGCACTTAAAATAAACTGCTTGAAGTTAGGAAGTAGGCCTTCTATTTCATAAACTATTTCATTCAGTATATATTCATTAGTATTCTACCAAGAACTAGACTTTGAAGTGTAGAGAAATACCTTTTTATATAAATATTCAGTATCCATTGGGCAAAGAATAAGAAAATGATTTGGAGATTTTAGAAAGACAAAAGACCTGGTCAGAGCAAAATAAATTTGAGGAAGAACATAAATCTTTCTGTCATCAGAGGAGAGGCCATGGTAGCACTTTCAGATCCAAGAACTCTGAGTAGTAAAAATTAAACTGTGGACACATTTTAACCATGAGGGGAACTACTTGGCATTGTTTATTGAATGTGTTCATTCTGTATTGATTTTTGTGCAATACAGAGGAAGAAATATCCCTGCCCGCAAGGAGTCCACTAATGGAGGAATTAGGATACGTATAGGAAACATATGAAAGAAAAACAAAACAAAACAAAATTGAGTGAATGGAAATCAACATAGTAAAAACTCTGTATGTAAGTGCCGATGCCAAGGGGGACAAAGTTATATTAGCATGTCTTATAGGGTGTGTTTTAGGTTTTATTTTTTCCAAAGAAAACTGGGCTTAGGTCACATTGATGGTTTGAGATCTCAGTAAAGGTGTAACCAATAGTCATCCATATTGGGAACAGGCTCAGTATGCGTGTCTGTAAGTCCTGTGGCTATGTCTTTGGGGCTGGTTAGTTCTGGAGAATGCTTGTTGCTGGCTTATAATGTATGGCTTGGCATACTCACTTATTCCTTACCTGATTTTCCCATGTGGAAGTGGTTCTTACATCATGGGGAACACAACTTCCCTGTCCCCTCTCTCAGTGGTGTGTTTCTTGTGGCTTCTGTATTTGCTG